CGAGCTGGAACACGAGCTGCAGTCCCGCCTCAACCGAGGCTACAAGCCCGCCTCCAAGTACATGAATTGCTTCTTGTCCCCTCTGCTGACGTTGCTGGCCAAGAATGGCGCCTTCTTCGCTGGCTCCATCCTGGCCGTGCTTATCGCCCTCACCATCTACGACGAAGACGTGCTGGCCGTGGAACACGTCCTCACCACCGTCACACTCCTGGGGGTCACCGTGACCGTGTGCAGGTGGGCCAGGGCGGCAGGCGGGGGCAAGCCCACTAGCGCCCCTGGGAAAGGCTTCCCTCTCACCGTGACCCCCATTCCCGCAGGTCCTTTATCCCGGACCAGCACATGGTGTTCTGCCCCGAGCAGCTGCTCCGCGTGATCCTCGCGCACATCCACTACATGCCTGACCACTGGCAGGGTAATGCCCACCGCTCGCAGACCCGGGACGAGTTTGCCCAGCTCTTCCAGTACAAGGCAGTGAGTGGAGTTGGAGTTAGGGCCTCTTAGAGACTGGCTGATAGCTTGGTGGTGAGGGCTGGGATCCCTCCTGCTCTCCTGTGACCTGGGTCCCCCCCTCACCTTTTAGGTGTTCATCTTGGAGGAATTACTGAGCCCCATTGTCACACCCCTCATCCTCATCTTCTGCCTGCGCCCACGGGCCCTGGAGATCATAGACTTCTTCCGCAATTTCACTGTGGAGGTCGTAGGTGTTGGAGACACCTGCTCCTTCGCTCAGATGGACGTTCGCCAGCATGGGCATCCCCAGGTACCGGGGAGGACAAGGGCAGGTGGCCAGAGGTGATGCTGACACATACGATGTCTCTGGGCCGATTGCAGAAAGACACCCCTCTGAGCCAGTGCATCGCCAGAAGGCAGCCCTGCTTGGTAAATAGGAGCTTGGGCTGGATTTTAGCCTTCAGCTTGCACCTCTGGCCAAGTTCCCTTGAGAAAGGCACAAACCAAGCAGCTAGCCCAGTGTGCGACCGTCCCTGGGGTGGGCCCCGGGGCCCGGGACAAGATATGGCAGCCCCCCTCACTGTAGCCTCCCTTGTGCAGTGGTTGTCCGGTGGGCAGACAGAGGCCTCGGTGTACCAGCAAGCCGAGGATGGGAAGACAGAGCTGTCACTCATGCACTTTGCCATCACCAACCCCGGCTGGCAGCCGCCGCGTGAAAGCACGGCCTTCCTCGGCTTCCTCAAGGAACAGGTTCAGCGGGACGGAGCAGCTGCCGGCCTCGCCCAAGGGGGTCTGCTCCCTGAAAATGCCCTCTTTACGTCCATCCAGTCCTTACAGTCCGAGTCTGAGGTGTGTTCCTGGGGACTGGGAGATGACAGCGGGCAGAGTGGACTCCAGGTGCTGGGAGTTGAGGACTGGGCTTGGGGTGGAAGGGCCTACCTACCCGGTTGGTTTCCTTCTGTCTGTTCAATCTGTGCCCTGGGGTCCTGACATCCAGAACACTGAGGGACCCTGCGGCCTCCCTCCTGCCCTGGGAACTCTACCCACCCCTTTCTTTCACAGCCACTGAGCCTTATCGCAAATGTGGTAGCCGGCTCATCCTGCCGGGGTCCCCCACTGCCCAGAGACCTGCAGGGCTCCAGGCACAGGGCTGAAGTTGCCTCTGCCCTGCGCTCCTTCTCCCCTCTGCACCCCAGTCAGGTGCCCACAGGCCGAGCTCCCAGCACCATGACAGGCTCTGGGTAAGTAGAGGGGGGGCCACGATGGGAGGGCATGGCAGTAGCCCCCAGCAACCTCTGCGGGTCTCAGAAATGTTGACGGCTCCTGTCTGTGCCGGGAGGGACAGGGTGGATGCCAGGACAGCCAGCTCCGGGAGCAGTGTGTGGGAAGGACAGCTGCAGAGCCTGGTGCTGTCGGAATACGCATCCACCGAGATGAGCCTGCATGCCCTCTATATGCACCAGGTGAGTGGGCAGGAAGGGCCCGAGCCACGGAATCAAGGTGGCCACTGACAAATAGAGGGTTTTAGGCGTGGAAAAGCAAGATGTGGGTTTGGAACCCTTCTCTGCCATTCCCCTACTCTGATCTCCATTCCCGCATATACCCCTTTACCATCCTTTTTAGCCAAGTTTATTGTCATCCAGGGCCCTTTACACACTGGTTGTTTTCGCTGCCAAGAATCCACTTCCCTGAGCTAGGCATATGGCTCCCTCCTTTATTCACCTGTTCTTACCTCTTCAATGAGACCGTCTCTGGCCATCCTGACCAAAAGAGCCTCCCTTGGCCACCCTCCTGAATCTTCCTGCTTTATTTTTCTCCATAGCATTTATCTGACATACTGCATTTTTTTCCTTTTTTATTTTATTGTCTATAACCGCCCGCCTCCACGCCCAGCATAGAAGCCATACAAGGGCTGGGATTTTTGTCTGTTCTGTTCACTGCTGTCTTCCCAGCACCTTGAAAGAGTGCCTGGCACTTACATATGCACCCAATTTGTTCTTGACTCAAATGACTAGGTTCCAGGGATGTGCTGAGAATTTAACGTGTAAGACGTCATATGTGTGGTACACACTGTTAACGTGGTAGTTACTCTGGGTCACTGATTCTAGGTGAGATGGTAAAAATGGGAACTGGAGGATAGCATGGTGGAGGGCATCTGTTTCAGATACTCTGTCCCCACCTAATGAGCCCCCCCCCCCCGCCTCCACCTCTCAGCTCCACAAGCAGCAGGCCCAGGCCGAACCTGAGCGGCACGTGTGGCACCGCCGGGAGAGCGATGAGAGTGGGGAGAGCGCCCCTGAAGAGGGGGCAGAGGGCTCCCGGGCCTCCCAACCTATCCCTCGCTCGGCTAGCTATCCCTGTGCTGCAGCCCGGCCCGGAGCACCCGAGACCACCGCCCTGCAGGGGGGCTTCCAGAGGCGCTACGGGGGTATCACAGGTATCCAGCGGGAGTCCAGGAGGGTACAGAGCCTTCAGGGAAAGGTGGCTCTTCGGGGGGCCTCCTGGGGAGGAAGGAGGTCAGAGCGGTCAGGCCCAAAGAGACTAACCCTCACCCTGACCCTGAACAGCCCCAGAACCTTTCTCCACATTTCTGTTTGTGTTCATTCTAAGAGTATGTTTACTTGTGTCTCTAGATCCTGGCACAGTACCCCGGGCTCCCTCTCACTTCTCTCGGTTGCCCCTTGGAGGGTGGGCTGAAGACGGGCAGTCAGCATCCAGGCACCCAGAACCGGTGCCCGAGGAGGGCTCGGAGGATGAGCTTCCCCCTCAGGTGCACAAGGTAAGGGCTTCAGGACCGGAGAACGACTGCTACAGGAAGTAGTAACTTCCAGGCCACGATCAAAGTCTCATGTGAGAGAAGGCAGGCCGCTCGTGCAGAGATACTGTTCCTCCCCCTCCAAAATACACTGCCGTTTCTTGCCTCACCTTCTCTGAAATCCAGGGCTTGATTTTCCCTATGAGTTCCTCCCCAGGAATCAAGCTTTCCTTTTCCTTTATCTCCAAGCTGTTTTTTGGGTAAGCAGTTAGCAGAAGATTATCTCCACTACTAACCCGTTTCTCTCCACAGGTATAGACAAGGCTGAGAGGGTCCCTATGTCCCAGGATGGAGGCCGCTGTCGCCCTGCCATCCCATCCGCCTGCCATGGAGGGCTCCTCTGAGTGTTGCCTGGCTCCACGTGTGTGGTGTCTGTGTGTCTGCCTGGCCAAGGGAGGTGCCAGCGCTGGGCTTGCCACAGCCCCAGGAGAGATGGGGGCCCAGGAACCAAGGCACACAGGACTCCAGCCTCATCCCCAGGAACCCCCTTGGCTCAGAGTGTGGTGCTAGAAACTGGTCCCCAGCCCAGCCCCAGTACTACTACCTTTGCACCCACCCCTGCAAGTCTCCAGAGGACTGCCCACCAGAGAAGCTGCCAAGCAGGGAGAACCCGTGCCAACTGTGGAGTGGGGAGGTTGGGCCCAGACCCTCAGCCTCTGCAGCCTCCCTCCCCCACCCTGAACAGATGAGCAGCTCAGGCTGTGGCCCTTACCTCACCCCCAGTTCACTCCCAGTGCTGCAGCCTGCTCACCTCTCTCCCGCTTCCTGCACATGACTGGCATGTGTGCCGCTTGCTCTGGTTCTGTTCGCTTGCTCCCATTCTGTTCAGCTTTTGCTTTGCATTGGTGCGGAGGCCCTAGATCCCAGCTCCTCTCATGCTATCTTTTGACACTAAGAAGGAAGGTTTCTAAATTGCAGGAGCAGGGTGGACATTCTTTGCTGCCCTCTCCCAACTTTTAGGATGGGCCCCTGGGAGACTGAGGCCGTTCTGGTCCCCATTGCTGCTTATTATACCCCTTACCGCCTGCACATAGGACGGACTGGACTGGCTGTGCCCTCGGCTGTCTACCTCCCAGCAGGAGAGCTCTGGCCTGCCTCCCGCTGTCCTCCAGAGGGGGACAGAGGGACGACAGGAGGCCTTCGCCGTAGGCTTTGAGCTGCCGCATTGCATGCTGGGATCCAGCTCCTACTCTCCACCCCACCCCTCGCCCCTATCTGGTCCGCTGCGGGTGTGGTCAACTGTGCTGCCCGAGCTCACAGCGGAAGGCGTAGGAACTGTGTACAGCTTGATAACCCTTAATAAAAAAAGGGACTTTGACCAGGTCGCGGCTTGTTGTCTCGCGCCGCTAGTTGTCTCTCGGCGGCTAGAATGATGGGAACAAGTGGAGTGGGGTGCGTGTGATTATCCCTGATGGCCGGGGAGCCGGCCGGGCCCTGTAGGAAAGTGGGTCTATGCCGTCACTTGGATATACCGAGCTAGCCTGCTAGCGGAAGGGTCATTTCCTAGCTGTGGTTCCGTGGAGGTCAAGGTCTCCGGCCGGACGTGCGGTCAGATTTCGCGCCCTGAGCACGTGACCAAGCCGACTCCGCCCTGGTATTTTGCCTTTCCCGCGTGCACCCTCCCCCTCCCGCCCCTTCAGAGACGTTGACCAATGGGGACCCTACGTAGGGGCGGGGCCGCCCTGGTGGGCGGGGCTGCTGCGCGAGGGAGCTGCTCTGGTCAGACGCCGAGCATTCTTTCGGGCCGGGTCTTGGCAGTGGGGTCCCAGGCTGCGAGCGAGGGCCGGACGGACGGGAGAAGACGGCGTACGTGCCCTGCGTGAGTGCGTGGCGGCGGCGCCTGCGCGAAGAGTGGGTCGTGTGGCCGGGCCCCCGTGTGTCCCTGCCCGAGACCCCCGCGGCTTGGCGCCCCTCGGCTCCATGACCCGAAACACCCCACCATCCGCGCCCCGCCCAGAGCAGCCGGTTCCGTTTGCCCTTCTTGCAGTCCCCGCAGGCCCCAAAGTCCCCGCAGCCTCGGCCGGCGGCCACGCATCGCCATGGTGATTGTGGGCAACTACTGCGAGGCCGAGGGGCCCTTGGGGCCGGCCTGGGTGAAGGGGGGCCTGAGTCCCTGCTTCTTCTTCACGCTTATGCCCTCGACACTGATGGCCCTGGGGGCTCTGGCCTTGGTGCTCACCCTTCCCTGCAAGCGCCGGGAGCGGCCAGCTGGCCCCCACGAGCCGTCCTGGAGCGCCGGCCCTCTCGTCGCTCCCTATGTGCTGCAGCTGCTTTTGGCCACACTTCAGGTGGCACTGCCCCTAGCCGGCCTCGTTGGCCGGGTGGGCACTGCTGGGGCCGCCCCGCTGCCAGGCTACCTACTGCTGGCTTCCATACTGGGGACTCTGGCCAGCGCCTGTGGCCTGGGGCTGCTCCTGGTGGAACATAACCAGGCCTGGCAGAAGCTAGCAATGGGCATCTGGATCGAGTTCAGGCACAGCTCGGGTCTCCTGCTCCTCTGGACTGTGGCATTTACAGCTGAGAACTTGGCCCTTGTGTCTTGGAACAGCCCACAGTGGTGGTGGGCACGGGCAGACTTGGGCCAGCAGGTAAGGGACCTCGTGGGGAGAGGAGAATCATGAGTGGCAAGGGCTGAGAAGAAGGATGGTATGTCTGGTCACACTGGTTCCACACTTTCGGATGCCTCCAAGAAAGGGAAGAAGGGGGAGGCCTGCATGGCCTGGTTGCTGATAGCCAGCTGGTGGGGTGTGTCTGTGCTGAGTCACTCTAGATTTTTTTAAAGCCTACTTGATGCTGGGCCCCTGACCTGGGTATGTGCCCTACCCCAGTCCCTAGCTCTGTTATAAGTGGTAACAATGGCATTTTGGCCTTCTTTGATGCTCTCCGGACACGTTTTATTCTAGGTTCAGTTTAGCCTGTGGGTGCTGCGGTATGTGGTCTCTGGAGGGCTTTTTATCCTGGGACTCTGGGCCCCTGGACTTCGTCCCCAGTCCTATGCCTTGAAGGTTAATGAAGAGGATCAAGACGTAGAGAGGAGTGAGGTATGCCTGAATTTCTGAACCTTAAGGTCTGTCTTAATTTCATTGCCTGTCTTCATTTTTTCCCACCATAATATTTCTTTCCCAAATCTCAGTTTGTGCCCTGTGAGCCTTTCTGACCTCATTGGGGATCACTTGTGGGTCTGAGATAACTGGGAGCTTTAATCCCATACATTTTCCCTAGAGGGGTTCGGCTAGGCCACTTCTTTTTGATTTCTGAGCTCCCCTCCCCTACGTGTTTGACCATCCTAGGTTCAGTCACCAGAGGCACCACCAAGATCTACATGGCAAGACCTTGGCAGGAAGCTCCGCCTACTGAGTGGCTACCTGTGGCCTCGAGGGAGTCCAGTTCTGCAGCTTGTTGTGCTCATCTGCCTGGGGCTCATGGGGTTGGAACGGGGACTGAATGTGTTGGTCCCCATCTTCTATAGGGACATAGGTGAGGGGAAGAAGAAGTGCCCGCTCAGCTCTCTGGTCCTTCATCGGCCATGTGAGGGGTGGGGGCCCTAACCTACGGAGGTGGGACGGTGTTAGGAGCTGGAGGGTCAGAAAGGGGATTGTGGCTGGTGTCTGGAGCAGTTTCTCCCGAAGAGAGCCCTCGGGGCCAGAAGTGGGCTCTTATTTTCTCCATAGTGAACTTAATGACTGAGAAGGCACCTTGGAGCTCCCTGGCCTGGACCGTCACCACCTATGTCATCCTCAAGTTCCTCCAGGGGGGTGGCACTGGCAGTACAGGTATGAGGGACTCTGCTGTCACCCTGGTTGTCATTGGCCTCTCTCCCTCTTCCTCCCCGAAGCATCCCTCCCTCGGCCCCTTGGCGTTCTCGGACCTTTCATATCTCGGTAGCGGGCTGATGTCATTTGGCCCCTCAGCTCTACCGAGGCCTCCCCCCGGCTCCCCCTAGGCTTTGTGAGCAACCTGCGCACGTTCCTGTGGATCCGGGTACAGCAGTTCACATCGCGGCAGGTGGAGCTGCGCCTCTTCTCCCACCTGCATGAGCTCTCCCTGCGCTGGCACCTGGGACGCCGTACCGGGGAGGTGCTACGGATTGTGGACCGGGGCACATCCAGTGTCACAGGGTTGCTCAGGTGCCAGGCCCGTGGAAATGGAGTGTGGGACGGTGGGGCTGGAGAAAGCACCCAGCTTCAGCTACCTCTCCATCCTCCTCTTAATTTTTTTTTTTTAACTTTAAGATAAATATACACATGCTGCCATAACACAAATAAAATGGAACAAGTATCTTATAAATTCTACTCGCTTCTCCAGAGGTTCCCACCCCGTCTAGGATGTTGAGTTGTGCTCTTGACACTTTGACATACGTATGTGCAGAGACTCACGGCACTAATGGGGTACTGGGGAGGGTTTCCCTAAAACACATAGGGTCATGACACAGATGTCATTCTCAGAATTGCCTTATTAACAAAACGGTATGGAGACATCGTCCCCTGCATGAAGATCCTCCTCATTCGTTATAACTGACCCAGCGCATTCTGTACTTGGGGCCTGCTACCGTTTATTTAGCCATCCACCTGTTGAGGGGCATTTAGCTTGATTCTAGTCTGCTGCCACTGAAAAACAAAACACCACACTGAAACTCCTGGGGGCAGAGCTGCTGGCTCCAAGCCCCTAAACCTTCCTTTGTTGCCTGACTCGCCTTCCTAGCTATCTGGTGTTCAACGTGCTCCCCACGCTGGCTGACATCACCATCGGCATCATTTACTTCAGCATGTTCTTCAACGCCTGGTTTGGCCTCATTGTGTTCCTCTGCATGAGTCTTTACCTCAGTGAGTGCTGCTTGGTGGAAGTGTCTCCCTGAAGTATTCTGGGGACTTCCTTGGGCATGAGCCCTGCCCCTACTCAGGTGGCCCAGCTAGGAGAGGCTGTGGATTAGTGGACTTGAGTAAGCTGCTGCTCCCCAACGTGATGGGTGGGCCTTCTCTTCTGCCAGGGGGGCTGTAGCTCAAGCCGGATAGAGGGACAGGGAAGGGCATCCTGGTCACATTAGGGGCCTGCTGTGGGTTCAAGTCAAGGAGAAACCTCATTTCTCTAACCAGCTGCAGCTCGCCTTCATTTGGTCACCGACAGCATTTTCACACACGAGGCTTTGTGCAGGCCGCAAAGACGCCTCACGCATAGCCCCTTCCCCCGGGGAGCTTAGGGCTCTCTCCCTTTGGGATCTGGGTCCCTGGTCTATAGCTCAGGGTTCGTGTGTATGGGTCAGGTAGCGAACATCCGCCTGTGGTCTCTGCTATCGGGAGTGATGTCTTGATCTCTTCTTCGCCTTCTTCCCCCTCCTGTCACTCTACAGTTGTGACCATTGTGGTCACTGAGTGGAGAACGAAGTTTCGACGTGCTATGAACACACAGGAGAATGCTACCCGGGCCCGAGCTGTGGACTCTTTGCTTAACTTTGAGACGGTAATGAAGGCCTTGGACAGTAACGTGAGGCACGGAGATGTGAGGCAGCCACGACCAGCGGGGCTGCCAGGGAGCTGCGAGGGGCGGGGCGGGGGGGGGTGGTGCCTTTCCAAATGAGGACGGAGGGAGGCCTGGCTGGCTCAGTCAGAAGAGCATGGGACTCTCGATCTCAGGGTTGTGAGTTCCTGCCTCATGTTAGGTGTAGAAATTATTTAAATAAGAGTTTAACAAAAGAAAGAAAGAAAAAGGGCGCCTGGGTGGGCTCAGTTGGTTAAGCGACTGCCTTCGGCTCAGGTCATGATCCTGGAGTCCCGGGATCGAGTCCC